ATCTAGGGATTGTCAAACAATTGTTACGAGAACCATTGACCTATGAAAGAATTTCGATTTGCGAAAAGGGGCAACTCAATACAATAAGTAAAAAATGGTTTGTGCTGTACAAAACCGAATCGACTTGCATTCTTTCTAGTCTTTGAACCATTGGGTTTAGTAAAATCAGGTTAAAATGCAAATATCAGATCCATGGTTCTAATTATTGCAGCACATCACATTGCCAAATGGCCGGGGTGGTTATGTGAACTATGTGATATCAGGTGCTGGCTCAAGAGCTGAGAGTTTCAAGAGATCTAATAATGCAATTCCCAATGAAAGTGTCAAGTTTCAGTACGTTTATTCATTCCTAAGAAATGCATTTTAATTGAGATTGAACTGAGGATAAGCTGTTTATAGGTATCCAAACTCATGGAATCCCTTTTCGCCAGTGGTGTTCTCAGATGGAGGTTTCGTCTACATGGAAGCTACAAGGAGTAGTGCCACATTGTCGTTTATTACGGGAAAAGGAGAACAAAAGTATCAAATGAGCATCGGTCCCAGAATGGTGATGAAGCACTAAAGCTCTTTATGTATGTACTTTAATATTATTCTGTATGTATGTATGTATGTTCTGTATGTATGTTCTGTATGTACTTTAATATTATTTGAATTTAAAGCCGTTCTTCTTACGCTTTCTTAGTCCCGGTTGACTTTCATAATTTCTAATACTTTACTCAAGAAGGAGTATAACTTTCACCTTTATTTTTTCAATCAGCTATTTAGAGGCAAAAGCAATTTGCCAACTGCAAAATCTAATAAGAAAAAAATCTTGAAATAAAAATAGAGTTATTTATTTACATAAAATGTGACATATCACCTGCTCTGCATCTTAACCTGTAACTATAGCTTTGTAATGAGTATAATTCCAACTGATATACCTCCAACATTATTGCTACCTTAACTTCGTGACACTACATGTGAGTAGGGTAATTAAGCCTTTCCAAAAATCACCTATTTAAAGAGATCCATCAAAGTACGCATTAGTTATATCAAACTCAAAATCTTTAAAGTTCTGCACTGGTCAGTGTACAGTAATCGCATTAAAATACCTTTTATGGAATAAATAACAATTTAAGAAGTTACGGCTTCCCTTTTGCCACTTTTAAATGCTAGATTCATTTACTATAAAGATGAGTAAATAATACTTGCTTTAA